TACGTCAGACTAATATTTCCTTAGCGTGTTCTAAAAGGTCCAATAGCTGAATATACACATTAAAAAAAAAAGAAAAAGACTATAAACACCTCAAAATTACTTTGTTTTATTAGTACTATGAGAAAAGATCAAAACAAACTCAATTTTGATTTAAAAATATATTATTTTAATCCTTTTTAATAGAAATTTATTGTAAAGACATTAAAAATCTAATTAATAAATATAAATTTTAAACACCACATTAAGTTATATAATAGAGAATATCACTACTAAGATATTACATAAGTCTTAAACATAGTAGTTTTGAATGATAAAAAAGCACAGGTAAAAAATTGGGTTATTATATATTATTAAAAAAAAATTATCAGATAATGAGACTCACCCTTCAATAATTAGTATAGTATAATTTAATATAAACGTTATTATATTTAAAAAATTAAAAAAATAAAATCAAGAAGGCAAACGGAAATGCTGTTGCGGCCCAATTTTACGAATTCTTAGGGATCCATTTTGGCCCAAGAATCATATGCTCTGTAAACCAGGAAGCAAGATAAAAGAAATAAATAAATAAATAAATGAAACAAAGAGGGGAAAACGACCATAACAGATATGGTGGCGTTTAGTTTGAGGACAACAGACTTTCTCAGACAAGGTAGGGGTGATTTTCTTCCCATATATACATTTGTGAACAACAGATCTTACATTTCTCCTGAACCTGCCTATTTTTTGGACATGATGTTATCTCTAACTGGTTGATTATTTAATCCTACAGGCATGTTTTTAGCTCAAGTAGCAGCATATGGACATTATAGCTTTGTATTTTGTGACAAAGGAAACTGATCATTGGAAGAGGGTATTAACAAGCTCCTAACTAAGGAGTCCTCCTCCATTGCTTCTTCTTTTGCTTTCCCCCATATCACAGCATAAAACCCAATGGATATTATTACTGCTCCAATCACGCTGCAATATCAGGATTGAACAATTACATATACAAATCATTGGTTGTGTTAAGAGTAGCCAACTCGCGTAAATATACAAAATCATCAACAAAAAATAGGAATGGGTTCAAGAGTGATTTTGGTACCTTCCAAGATACAAAGCATCCCCTAAGAACAAAGCACTCATTGCAGCTGCAATGACAATTGACAATGGCTTAAAAATTGCTATGTAGACAG